TTTTTTTTTTTTTTTTTTGCAACTTTTGTATCTTCTGGGCTTTCTGGGGGCCCCCCCTAGTGAGGTCCGGTTGCTTTAGGATTAGTCTTCAGGACCTTGATGTCAAGATCGCTTTGGTAGCGAATGTTGTGGATACTACTCCGGGGATTGTTTGAACCGGCTTCATAACCCTCGGTCTAGGCTTTTTGCAACGCCTTACCTGGCAATCAGTCGCGTTGGGCAACATTGACTTGTGGATACTTGTGTTTAATGCCCCCCTCCGCTTTGTCGGTCTTTGCTGGGTGCCTTCGTACTTGTCATCGTCCAATTTGCCCGGTCCCTCACAACCACAGGTGCGGCAGCACCTATGTCTGCCCCGAGATTGGAGCTTTTCATTCTGAGGACCTAACTTGTCTCATAGTGAGGTGATGACCCTGACTTGAGTAGCTGGCTGGAAATTTAGGATTGGGGTTACATTGGGGTTATATTGGGATTATATAGGGGTTCTATAGTAAAAATGGAAAAGAAAATGGAAACCCTAGGTCCCTTTAAAGGGATAAGTATATCTGCGAGGCTCGAGCTCTACTGACCAGCCCTTGAGATCATCCCATCATGGGGCTTCTGAGGCTTACGGGATGGGGGGAGCCGCTCAAAATACTCCAAACCCCAACGCCTAAGCCTAGAACCCTCATCTCGAAACCCTGTATAATTCCTAATCCTCGGGGGCCCGCATCGCAATATGTAGCTTGAGACACCCTAATTGGGTGTTTGCTGTGTACAGCTTTGCATGTCATGTACTGTATTACCACATTCCTACAGCTTGGGACCTACAACCCAAATGCTGAACCCTCATCCCCAAACCCTATATAATTTCTTAAAACCCAAATACTGAACTTAATCCCCAAACCCTGTATAATTTCTTCAAACCCAAATACTGAACCCTAATCCTAAACCCTAAACCCTAATCCCCAAACCCTAAACCCTAATCCCCAAGTCATTCGTCTTCTGAGGCTTCTGCAGCGCTTCTGGCTGCGTCGGGGCGGCATCCCAGCGTTTTTGGGCTCGAAGCTCCCCCGGGGAGCCGCCAAAAACCGCCACTGGGGCCTTCTAGGGTTTAGC